TTCGTTTTATATATATAATTTTTTTTTTTTTTATAAATTTTAGTTTTTTATATAAATTTTCTTTTTCTTTATCTTGTTATAAAAACTTTGTCTCTTTTTAATTAATTTTTTTTTTGTTCTTTATTTTATTATTTTTATTTTTTTTTAATGAAATAACCAATAAGATGGGTAAGATGGCAAAAATAACATCATTGGAATGACAAGATATCTATCAATTAAATTGATAAAGAACCATCACAAAAACCATAGCTAGAATGTTAGAAACGAAAACGGTAAAAGCAACGCCACAAAAACGCTGAAATTAATGTTATTAAACATCAAAGTAACGGAAGAACCATTGCAAATACAACGAAGAAACTACAAAAATGACGAAAAAGATGATAGTAAAAAAAACATTAGCTAGACAGGGTTTGTTATATTTGTTATTGTTTTCAAAATGGTTGAATTATTCGATGTATTAGAGATTACAAAGTCCTAAGATAATCAACAATATAAATTAGAGAACTTCTATTTTCACCCGCATGTAAATAGAATTTCTCTAATTTATATTATTGATCACCTTAGAACTTGTAATACTCAAATGAATTTATATTGTTGATTACTTTAGAACTTTTAAGTGTCAAATGAATTCGAATAATTTATTAGATAATTCGGTTATTCATTCATTAATCTATTTTATTTAATTATCCACCAAATATTGGATATCCAATAGATAACCGGATAAATTATTCATGGATTGGAACTCTAGTGCATATACGTATTTATATATGGGGTGTCAATAGAAACCAAGCAATTTGTTTTTAGTAAGTTTTTTTAAAATTTTAAATTAAAATATCTCAACAACTATTTATTCAACTTGATAAATTTTTTTTATTTTAATTCTATAACTAAATAAAATTAAAATAAAAAAAATTTACTAAGTTTGGTTTAATAGTTGAGATATTTTAATTTAAAGTTTAATAAAAAATTACTTAAAAACAATTTACTTGGTTTTTATTAATACCTCCATATACTGATTTAAAAGTTATATTTAAATTATTAATGATTTTAAGCTACAGTAGTATATATAGTATAAGTTTATACAGTTAGCCCTCGCTATAGTTATACTGTGCAGAGTTGTGAATAGACAATAGACAAGCCAATAGACTCAATAGGCAATCTAATAGTTTAATCAAACCATTAGATAGACAAATATATAAATATAGTATATAGTTTAAAGTAATCTGATTGGTTAATTTTAAATATTATAAACTGGTTAATATAATAGATAATTAAATAGTTATTAGACAAACTTTTTTTTTTTTTTTCACTTTGGCCATCTTGCTGGTATCTTTTATTAAGTATCTAATTGTCAAGTAAAACAAAAAAGAAACTAAGCCTGTTTAATAATTTGGATCTAACACCCCACAGTTACTTTAAGAGCACTTACAAGTGATTGGCCACACTGAACAGAAGTATCCATATGAATATATCATGATGAGCTTCAAACTTGAACCTTCATCTATCTCATAAGGCACTGTCAGACCACCACCCTACAATAGAATATCATCAAACTGATGATATCTTCTCATAGGAAGTGGAAAGAAAAAAAAAGTTTTTTATTAACACTAATCCTAAGGGGACAAAAAATAAATGAAAACTAATACTAAAAACAAATACAAAGACAAAATGTAGAGAAAAAAAGAAAAAAAGAAATCTGACAGATCACCATTATAAGCCTGTGTCAGGCTTTTAAAAATTACATCTTACAAAATAAAGAAACTCTGTATCTAATCCCTATTCTAAAGATATGTATAAAAAAAAATTAATTAAAAAATAAGTTAGATTAAATTAAATTAAAATGAAATACGTAAAATAAAATAAAATAAATCAAATAAAGTAAAAAAAACAAAATAAAATAAAATAAAATAAAAATAAAATAAAATTATGAGGCAAAATTAATTAATTGGTTTTCATAACCCGGTCGGGTCAAAGTTTGAAAAATTTTAAAAAAATATATTTTAATAATCGGGTGGGTTTAAAAAAAAAAAAATTATAAATATAAAATTTTTATACTGTATATAAAATTTGGCCGGCCGGATATATTTAGAAGTCTCATGTTATGAAAACCAAGATATTAGGCTAACCTTAAAATTTTTTATTATAAAAATCCAATTAAAAAACATTAATTCTGTGATTAACCAGCCATATTTCAAACTACCCGTTATACGACAAAAATTGTAAACCCAGATCCACGCTAAGAACCTTCTTTAGGATCGAACATATTCATAGACTGACCTAAATCCTCCAGCTAATTAATTATTAAAAAATTATTCCATAAAAACACCTGACAAATATAATAATTATAATACGATTATAACTAACCTTTCCTATTAAATTAATAATTTGCCATTTTATGTTAAAATTTTAAATTTGGCCGTATCATAATTATAAATTTTCATTTGTTG